CCGTCAAAGCTTCCCGTTACTGACGGTCAGCCGGTTGTAGCGCAACGCGGTTCCAAGTTTTAACATTATACCGCCACCTCTCTTATTTTACTTTCTCTATGGTTTGCCGAGGATTGGCTCGAAGCCTAGCTTATGGTATTTCCGCAGCGACCAAGTGTTTTGTGTTTGGGAAACTATGCGATTCACTATGCTAAAACATCAATTTCGTAGATATAATATTATTCTATAAGTCAGTAGAGTTAGTCTTTTACTGAGTTAAGTTATAGGTGATTGTGGTGTTGCATTTTAAATTCCTATTCATGCTATTTTAACATTCTCAAGACGGGATTCTGATCCCAAGGGTTAGCTATAAGCTACAAGTTAAAAAGTTAAAGTGTTCTTGAATTAATTGGCCTGGAGTTTTTTTTTAATCTAGCGGCAAAATCCTATCAACCAAGAGAAAACTCCTATCGTCCACACCAAATTTTAGCCCTATTTTACTTAAGTTTGTAGAATCACGAATTTCAAATGAATGGCATGGAAGTTCAACGGCAAGTATTATTTCTATTATTTTAAGACATACAAAATCTATTTTTTCTGCATGTTCTTAATACGTACTTGATATGTGGCGGGATAAACTTGTAAACATCTTCGTACATTTCTGTCCATTTGTGTTTAGTTTTTTGCTCGCCTAAGCTGAACGCAGTCAATATATCATTCTTGGCTTCAGTTATTAAAGCAGTTTCCTTTTCATCACTCCAGAATCCCTTCGATTGTAAATAAAGTCGAAATTTTTTTGTAGGGTGATCACTGGTTGCCCAGTTAGATACTTCCTCCATAGATCTGTAACTCGAACTATCATCTGATGTAGAATGGTCTCCGACTCTGTAACCGATATTAAACTTGTATGATGTAAAACTGACAAATGTATGTGTTTAAAGCCAGAGAAACGGCAATCTGCGATACTTCAATCATTCAACAACAAACGCAGATAAATTTAAAATGGTTGAAGATGAGTATATGACATGGTATACCAAACTTACTACAAACATTACAAAAAGTATTGCAACCGAACACCATTTTCTTTTAGTTTTCAAGTTCATTTTTTTCTTTATAACACAGACTGCAGCCGTTGCTGGAAATAATTATTCACCAAAATGTTCCATCTTGTTGGCAACAAGACAATTTTGGGTGTTCCCCAATCCACATCTGCGTAAAACTGAAATGAACGTGTAAACGCCAGACTTGCGCTCTCTCAGTTCATTTGCTCAGATCTGCCTTGTGCAAGCCAATTTGTTCAGACGGCTTGAGAGTGTAAATGGGCTTTTAACCGCCACACGAGCACCAGGTAACGCCTAGATAACTAGTTAATTACATCAAATACTATAGTCTGGCAAACCGTTTTGATGTATGAGCCTTACAGAATGGATCACCGTTGCACCACTTTTCTTAAATGCGTAATCTAATCGTCCAGATCAACTAAGGATAACTGACCTGTAAGTCAAGGCTTCAATTAAAACGGGCTTCTTTTCTGAAATTGAAAATTCTTTGGCTAATTTGGTTGCATTATAAACAGCTAACACGTCATTCCCGTCTATTCGCAAAGTATTAATTCCATAAGAAGGTCCTTTGGCAGCAATTCCATCACCTTTATATTGTTGACTGACTGGGGTTGATATCGCATAACCATTATTCCTAGAGTGATAAACCATTATTCCTAATGTGGTAAGCCTCATTACTACGCAGTATTTGTGACATAAAAGTTTTTTATAAATTTTTAATTTTTTTGAGCTCAGGAACAATGTTGAAAATTCGAAAATTGTTACTCACCTACAGAAAAATATAACTGGACACCCCAACGTAGCAGCAAAATTAAAAGCTGCATGTGCATCTCCTTCTGAAGCAGTGCCGTCTCCAAAATAGCATATTACCACTCTTTCTGTACCTACAAAATATCAAGGTTTTATTTGGGACTAATTTATGATATTTCAATCATGAATAAATCTACCTTTGTTGACTTTTGCCCTTAGTACATAAGCTGCTGTAGGGCAGCATATATAAAAATGGTAACAGTACCATAGAGTGAAGTCCCTAATTATGATAGTGATAATAAATAGTGGTGTACAGAGAACGGTGAAAGTATTGCTGAGAACGCCATGAAATTCAAACGCATCTTCACCTACACGGGCTTTGACCAGAGCCTAATAGTGAAATTTATAAGGCGTTATATTTGGTCGATGTTACTATATGGCGTGGAGCGCTGGACACTGAAGGTTACCGCAATGAATAAAATAGTGGTCTTCGGAATGTGGGTATACCGCAGAATCACATATAAAACTATTTTTGGGGCTTTAAAGCCGTGGTCCACGGGAATTTATTCCTGACGTTTCGCCCACAACTGAGGTGGACATTATCAAAGGCGATGAGCATCAAATGGTCACTTCATCTAAACATATTTGTTGGCCGTCCAAAAGGGGCTTGCTAGCTACCAAATACGTTTCGATGAAGTGGACCTTTTACACCAATCTTAACGGTATTACCCGAGACTAACCAGAGAGACCATTGAAATCTTTAAACATGACAACAATTTTAATAGGAAAGAAGAAGTAACGGCCCTTAATCCAGTAGTTGAACCAGTCTTAGTCGGAAAGCACGAGAGATCACTTCGCCCACTCGCCTTTGATAATGTCCACCGCAGTTGTGGACGAAACGTCAGGAAGAAATTTCCATGGACCACGGCTTCAAAGCCCGAAAAACATTTCTATATGTGATTTGACCGGCCGTAAAAGCATTCATAGTCTGATATACTGCAGAATGCTGAAAATCCTATGGACGGCCCGAGTAACCCAAGGAAATGTCCTACGAATAATAAACAGAGAATGTGAACTGCTACTGATGATGAAGAAAAGGAAAACCGCATACCAGGGACTGAACAGATCGTCGAGGGAAAGATAGAGAGAAGGAGAGGAATGGGAAGGAAGAAGATGTCGTTGCTCCGCAACATGAGACTAGCTTACGAACAGTGAAAAACTTATTACATGCAGCAGAGACGGAATGCAGATGAGTCATGTGGACGCACATTAATTAATGTATACACAAGAAGAAATGACAAAGGAATTACGAGGAACGAGTTAAAATAATAACACTTAAAAAGAAACTCATAAACCAGTCATCAGTAAATTTTGTAGATACAATCTAAAGCTTGCCCATTGTGTATTGATACTGGCTACATTTCAGTGATTGCTGCTAGCTATAAGACCAATTCACGAGATGAAAAAATCGTACCTATTTGTTTTTGTCTTAAGTGTTTAGTCTTTTTAGGCTTAATTATGGTCCAAAAAAACATTGAAGTATAATATTGAAATTCTTGTAGACCTCGGTCACTTCAAACAAATGCTATATATATTTTGACTATTTTTCATCCAAAACAATATATGACTCAAATAAACAAATTGTTCAGTATAAATAATATTACCTTTTAATGCATAAGCAGAACCAACAGCTTGCGGCATTTGTGTACCTAATGGACTAGAAATGGTAACAAAATTCAGCTCCTTACTACCATAATGAACGGGCATTTGCTTGCCTTTGCCTTTATCGTCGATATTTCCATAACATTGATCTGAAACAGTTCACGGCTTCAAATTTCCATTAATGATTCTTATGGTTCAACTAACACAGACATAAAAAGGGCAACATATTTTTAATAAGATGATTTCTATTAAGATTTATAGTCTCTCTACTAGTCCATATAAAAAAGCCCCTAACATACATGGTATTAAGAATCCAAAACATACGTATTACCAACAAGTCCGAAGTTAGTCGCTTATCTTAATGAAAGAAAACTGGAAAATAAGTATTATCACTCCAAAATGATGAGTCTATTATTCATTGGGGAAAATTGCCAAAATAAATGCTGCTAAAGTTTAAAGGCAAAGGACTGTCAACCACGCACAAAATAAATTTCAGAAAAATGAAAACACTTTTAGATTCTAATGATAGCCGAAAAAGATAAATGTGAACTCGATCACGATGATCCGGTTTTCGTTTCAGTTGAAGAGATACGCCAGATAGAATATGTTAATAGTAAAGTTTGCGAAAAACAAGGAAAAAGTGATAAAATACAACGGTGTGGAATGCGATGTATGACACCATGCTGCATGTACTGCTGAAGCTTGGGAACATAAATATTTGCCATAATGTGTTTTCCTATTCATCTTAGAAACCAGTCAAAGATAACTTAGTTATTATGGTATATGAATTTATCATATTCACTAAGGATTCAACCATAAAAAAGCTGCCATAACCGGGACGCAAAAGCGACAGCTGTCGGATGGCAGTACACCCAACAAGTGTATAAAAAGGCATTTCCCAAACCTCACCATAAAAAGAAAAAAAGGATTCAACCATAATGATTCATGTTCTTTCAAAATAAATATCTAAATAAAAACATCAATATAAACCCTGTTTAGATGCGCACGATTCCTCCACTTTCCCTTTCCCAATAGTCGAGAGAACTAGTAAATATAAGCTGTAATATTTTACATTAAGCCTCACATGGTCTGCTAAAATTTGAAACTTTCAATGCGATTATAATCCGAATCGAAAACCTTATAGGTACGTTGCAAACCCAGTAACTTTTTAACCTGCATTGCGCAAAACATGTGTGAACGATTAAATAAACAATAGATATAAATGAGATGTTAGAATTAGACATGTGATTTATAGCTTACCTACAAATTGCTGTAAAGTAAATCCCCTATACATTAATACGCCAGTTTCTCTATATTGACCGTACACTAAGTCGTCTAAATCGAGTGCAGCAGCACTTCCTATATGAGTAGCTTCCTCTCCATAGCTCGTCATATAAAACGAAATTCGGCCTTGCCTGCAACAATAAAAAAATTGCGTTTGACGTTTCACTTAAATGATAGTTATACAGAGGCAAAAATCTAGATCTAGATTTAAATGAAGATGAGATTACAATCATTTTTTAAATGTTGTATGAGGCATTGACTGTTAAAAAAATCGCTTACAACCAAATGAATCTACTTCAGCTGCTCTTGTTATATTCAATATTGCATTGAAACCGTGATTTTTTTCTTTACTAATTTTTGCACACTTCGTCATCATATTCTTCTTCTTCAGCCCGTTTGAGTCCACTTCTGGACATTGTTTCCATGTCATGTTTCCAGGCCTCTTCCATTTGCTTCCATGTCGAACTACACTGTGCTGCGAGAATCCAGTTCTTTCCTACGCGTCTCTGCATATCATCTCCCCATCTTAACAGGGGTCTACCAACACTTCTTTTTGTGCGTCGTGGTTTGCACTGCATGATAATTTTTCTCCACTTCATATCATTCCGCGCAATATGTCCCGCCCACCGTCATTTACTTCTCGCAGTTTGTTCTGCCGCGTCATAAACTTTGGCTTTTGCTCTGATATTTTCATTCGTTTTCCTTCCATCGCACGTTGGCAAATTCGCAGCCGTGCGCTTTTCTTAGATTGGGTAACTGTCCCGAGTCCGTTCAACATGACCAGAAGCACAAACACATCATACATCTTTCGTTTTAAGTTTATTGCTATTTTAAGTTTTTTGAGGATATGTGCAAGATTTCCGAAAGCCACCCAAGCCAACCTGATTTTTCTTGTTATTTCGGCTGTCTGATTGTTCTTGCCTAGCATTTATAGCCCAAGATATAACGGGTTATCCAATTCCAGGTTGGGAAAGTTAAACCTTGCTATTTGATATTTGTCAAAGGTAAACGTCATCCGAAGCGTTTTTGTTGAAAGTTTGGCATTTTGGAATATGGATCGTTTTATTGTCGAAGAACGCGTAAGAATTATTAAATGTTACTATAAAAATTGTGGTTCAGCTGTATCAACGTTTAAGGCCGGGTTACATCTATCCGATCCGACTCCGATCATACAATCGGACGAAGATCTGAGAGAAAAATGGTACTGGACTTTCAACGCCGTAGTTCACATCTTTCCGCTACCTGTCCGATCCGTCTCCGTTTTTGTATCCGATCATGTTTCGATTTTGCTGGCTATTCGATGGGTATTTGCTATCCAATTGTCGGAAGGAAAAACGGTCCGCATTTTAGGTTGCGTCAGTGATACATTTGGTTTTTAATGAACAATATCTACAGTAAGCTGTAGATATTTAAATATTTTGATTGGGCTTACAGAATTTTACTGATAGAAAACAAACTCAATTATTAATAATGCACATGATTTGTCGCAAGTATTAATTTATATTACTGTTTACACAGCAACTGTATGTAAGGACTATAGCAAGGAATATTGGAAAAATAACTACTAAAGTGTACATTGTAAACTGTCATGGAAATTTATTTACTACTTCAGGTTTTAATGTTTTAATTCAACCCCTCATTTTGTAGACATTTTTATTCTCTACAAATCATCTCATTGGGCATTCCGATTACTCCATTATTATATAATATTATAAACAAAAAGACAAAAATCGCATCGCATTGAATTTTTGGC